TGGGCAGACCACAACAAAGGCATGTTTCATGTTACGACTTCTTGATGAAAAAGGTTACATTATACCATTTAATGAACGAGGTGGAGGATGTGGTGCAGCTATGAGATCCATGTGTATAGGTTTGATGTTTCCTTGTGAAGATCAAATTGAAATGTTAATTGTAATTGCTATTGAAAGTGGAAGGATGACTCATAATCACCCCACAGGTTTTCACCCTTTCATACTAAAGCAAGGATTTCAGATCATGTATCAATTATAAAGTCACTAATGTCTAGTGTTATGTCTATCAACAAGTGTTGCTTTGTATAAAGTTTGCTAGGTTTTCCTGTTATCTGCATTGCTTTTCATTTTAACAAACCTTTATAGTAATTTAGCTTTTCAATCCTTTTGCTTTTCTTAGATGTTTTATCTTCAACTCTTCCTTTGATTACTTACTTGAACAAGCCATTACCATGAATGTTTTATATCCTTTTATCTAATATCAATTTACAATAGAAATAAATGAAGGTTGACCTTAGGTTTGCATAAGTCTATGCAATCCTTCATTTTCTAGAACCACATTTCAAATGCCTCCATCCTTCTGACATTGCTTACTTTAAAATGACCATATCTTTGATCCATCCTTTTATCGCTTTTCCACATTTCCAAATTTCTGTCTTCTGAAAACTGTTTGAATTGCCATTGCTGTTTTGCTTTAATATCTTCACTACTACAGCCATTCAATCCATGATCCATATCAAAATGCCGTTATTATGTAAATAGGGTCATCATAATGTAAGTGACTTAAATTTAGCAATCTTTAAAGATAATGGTTTTAATTATAGGTTAATTAGGGGGTGTTACTGCAGCTTTACTTACAACCTATGCTATACAGAAGAGGGCTCCAAAAAATGGGGAGCAGGACTTTTAAGTGTTTTACCCAAAGTTTGTGAATACATTGAGAAGGTTGGTCGTGATGTAGAAGAAAACAAGAAATCTTGGGGCTACTTTAAAAATAGTTGGGAGTCATATCTTGAACTACGGGGATTAATGAATGGAGCCAGTGAACCAAAATTTCCAGTGACATATAACATGACCTGAACATGATGCTTTTTATAAATCAATGAGTTATGCAGGTTGGGGTGGGTCCAGTGGTCATGATGCACCAATGATTGCTTATGATGCCTTGATGATGGCAAAAGATTCCTCATTTCAATTGTGTTCTTCTTCTATGTTTCATGGTGGAGATAGTGACAGCACAGGAATATTGGCTGCAGCATTTTGGGGTGGTATGTATGGTATGAAAGGTGTACCCCTTGGAAATTATAGGAGCCTGGAATATGGTCATAGGCTTATAGAGCTGTGTAAAAAATTACTGAATGTATCAAAGAATATGAACAACTAACAGGATAGTATTTATTTAACAAAATTCTGTCAACCCAGTATACTTTAGTGTGTTTGTGAATCATACAATAAAAATTACTACTTAGTTATGACATAAAAGCAAATTAATTTAGAAATAAAGTCTAAAGAAGAATGTTATATTCAGGGCATGGGCAGTTCTAAGTTCTACTTAGGATGATTCCTGGACTGTAGAGTAAGTTTATTAACTAGATATCAGAGAAACTATACATAGACAAGGATCATTACATCTTTAGGTTCATTTTACCTCACAAAATACAAATTGCAAACGTTTCATTCACTACCAAAAATACATTCTCAGGGAGAGGGGAGTTTGACTTAAAAATAGGCTTAACATAATTTGGAAGGCACAATTTTCTTTGAAACACGTAGCCACCAAAGTGTAACTGTAAAGCTTTGTCATATTTCTGAGTTTCATAATACAACACACCTAGATTTTTTAAAAGACTTAACGACATAAACCTGACTACTTCCTAACAATTGTTTTTCAATTTCCAGAGCTTTACGTAAAACGCTATACCTTTGTCGTAGTTTCCAGTGTCAATGTACACATTACCAAGATGTTTTAAAGACGTAGCAACATCAACATGATTTGGACCTAACGATTGTTTTCTAATTTCCAGAGCTTTTTCATACTACTCTATAGCTTTGTCGTTCTTTCCAGTTTTATGTAACACCACACCAAGATTGTGTAAAGACGTAGCGACATAAACATGATTTGGACCTAACGATTGTTTTCGAATTTCCAGAGCTCTTTCATGAAACTTTATGGCTTTGTCGTAGTTTCCAGTATCATCAAAGACAGTACCAAGATTGTCTAAAGACCCAGCGACATCAACATGATTTGGACCTAACGATTGTTTTTGAATTTCCAGAGCTTTTTCATTATACTCTATAGCTTTGTCGTAGTTTCCAGTATCATTATACACACTACCAAGATTGTTAGCGACATCAACATGATTTGGACCTAACGATTGTTTTGAATTTCCAGACATAAAACTCTATTGCTTTGTCGTAGTTTCCAGTTTTATTAAACACATTACCAAGATTGTTTAAAGACGTAGCGACATCAACATGATTTGGACCTAACGATTGTTTTCGAATTTCCAGAGCTTTTTCATGAAACTTTATCGCTTTGTCGTAGTTTCCAGTTATATTAAACACAGTACCAAGATTGTTTAAAGACGTAGCGACATCAACATGATTTGGACCTAACGATTGTTTTAGAATTTCCAGAGCTTTTTCATGAAACTTTATCGCTTTGTCGTAGTTTCCAGTTTTATTAAACACATTACCAAGATTGTTTAAAGACGTAGCGACATCAACATGATTTGAACCTAACGATTGTGTTTGAATTTCCAGAGCTTTTTCTTGAAAGTCTATCGCTTTGTCGTAGTTTCCGGTATCATCAAACACATTACCAAGATTGTTTAAAGACGCAGCGACATCATCATGATTTGGACCTAACGATTGTTTTTTAATTTCCAGAGCTTTTTCATAATACTCTATAGCTTTGTCGTAGTTTCCAGTTTTATGAAACACATTACCAAGATTGTTTAAAGACGCAGCGACATCAACATGATTTGGACCTAACGATTGTTTTTTAATTTCCAGAGATTTTACATGAAACTCTATCGCTTTGTCGTAGTTTCCAGTATCACTATACACATTAGCAAGATTGTTTAAAGACGCAGCGACATCAACATGATTTGGACCTAACGATTGTTTCAGAATTTCCAGAGCTTTTTCACAAAACTCTATACCTTTATCGTAGTTTCCAGTATCAATATACACACTACCAAGATTGTGTAAAGACCTAGCGACATCAACATGATTTGGACCTAACGATTGTTTTTGAATTTCCAGAGCTTTTCATGAAACTCTATTGCTTTATCGTAGTTTCCAGTTTTATAAAACACACTACCAAGATTGATTAAAGACGTAGCGACATCAACATGATTTGGACCTAACGATTGTTTTAAAATTTCCAGAGCTTTTCTGTGATGATTTTTAGCTTTGCTATACTTCCCGGTATCATAGCATAAAATACCAAGGATATTAAAATACCAAGCTTTGTCATAACTAGATTCTTCTGTATCAAATTTATCTAATAGTTCAAGAGCAAGATCGTATTTTCCAAAATGTCTTAATTTGTCAACAAAATATTGGAAAATTTGTGAAGTGTTCATGTTGATTTTTGTCTTGTTGGTCTTTAATGATTGAACAATTTTTTTAAGATGTGGCATTAATTTGATTTCGTCGTCTCTCTCTTTAAACATGTAAAGTGCTTTAGATATTTGATCAACGTTAGTTTCTATTTCATGTTCTTTATTTGAATGTTCAGATTGATAAACAATAATTGCTTTGTGAATAATGCGATGTAGACTAATGTCATTATTTTCTGAATGCAAGAACAATGAGCAGTCCTTTAAACAAAGACATATATCTTCCTTTGAGCGTTTGGGATCTATTTTTTGAACATAACAAATAATAATGTCTCGTGGTATAGGATCAAACGATATCACGGAAAAAAAGTTAATAACAATTGCCAATATTGTAGATTCTTCAGCATTTTGCCTGACAGCTAAAAGTGAAGCTTGTAACATACTTCTAGGATATACCGAGTTAAGTTTAACAAAAGTGGCGTCCATCTTTTCTTGTTCTTCTAAAAATATTTTGTTTAAATATTCTTTCCAAGTAAATGAGCAGTTTGCTTTGCTTACACGACTGACATAACAAACAGCGGCAGCCAAAGCCAGCGGTTGACGATCTAATGCGTGGGATACTTCATTCAACAATTGATCATCAGTTCATTTTCAATAGTGTAATGCTTCAACAGTTGAAAACATTCCTATCATTCATTCCACTTCTGATAGAAATATGTTTGTTAAACTCATCGTCTTGAGGTACGGCATCTGTGTTCTGGATAGTTACTATGATTTGTCCATTTATCCACATGGGATCACCAACTTGGGGAGTAATGAAGAATTTTGCTGAGCTGTGCCACGTTGTCTACAATGATCAACCAATTTTGCCAGAATTTTAATCGTGTGGATACTAACGATCGCAAATTCTTCACTTTGTCTGCGATGGAAGAATTTTCATCTTCAAATTTTTTAATCATATACTTGTCACAGTTTAAACGGTATCCAAGTTCACAGTAAGTTTTTAAAAGCGATTCCTCATTTTGTCCATCGAGAGTCATTACAAACGAAGTTCTATTTTTCCAATCACACGATATTTTTTCACAAACCTGTCTTGCAAGTTGTGATTTACCACTGCCAGGATTACCATTGATGTAAAAATATGTCAGTTTATCAATGTTATCATAGCTTAATTTTTCAAGATCTTTTATAATTTTATCTCGTAATTCAGTGCGTTCAACGAGAAAATGATAAGGTTTTGAAGGAAGAACTTGAAATGAATTAAACTTGTTTCGATTATTTTTTATTTCATTGATTCCATCGAGGGAAAATTTTAAATATATAAATGATTTTTCAATGATACTGACTATTCCATCAAAATCATCATCTGAGTAATTACTTTCATACCAATGTGCGTCATTGTTTCTTTCACCACGAAGTGCATGAACAGCATCCTTTGTTTTTTTGTCAAGATGCTTTCCAATTGAATTTGAAAAAATTATTGCATCAAATAATATCGTACAGTCCCACTTACTTGTGTCTCCATCCTGATATTTTTGTCGAGTTTTTTGGTCTAACTTTCTTCTTGATTCTAAAATGTAAAATTTTTTACCACTGTTGCGTGTATCTTCCGATTCTCCATATGTTGATTTATAACGAGAGTTCCATTGTTTAATGAAAAATTTAGCAAGTTCTGTTTGTACCACATTAATTACTCTTCTGATGTAAAATAGATTTCAGTTTTCTCTTGATTCCATCTAAAAAAATTTGTTGTATCAACAAAACAAGTAAAATCAAGCAATTCCAAAAATTTAATATTCAAGATAAATGTATTAGTTATCATGAAAGTCGAGAGTTTTGTACATTTGATGAAATCAAATACATTTACTCCTACATAAATTTATTTATTTATTTATTTATTCAACTTTGCCTGTATCATGCTATAAATGCAAATGAACATAAGTAACTATTAAAAACAGGATACATGCTACAGCTCTTGTCAATTAAAGCAGCCTCTGAAGAGACCGTTGTTGCTCACAAGGAAAATTACCAAACAAGACTTGTACGAACTTGTAAAAAGGCCTGGCTCCAAAAGGGTTAATCCAAACAAATGCCACAAACATTAAAAACAACAGGATATTTACAGGACAGTTCGCATTTTTTATCGTCATAAACAGCAAATATATATACTTTTTCTAAGGATTGTTTAAAATGTTGTAATAGCCTTTTCTTGAATAGACTAAGGTTGATAATGATGCATTCTAGAGTCTAATGCACGTGTTTAAATATGACTTTTGAATTTTTTTGTTTTGCAACCATTTGCAACAAATGATAGATGATTTGGATAGCACCCAATCGTAAATTTTACTTGAAATATAAGTTTTTGATAAATGCTGATGAAATAATGCCTTTTTTGTGAGGGAGGGGGGGACTAATGCCTCCTTTTGAGGGCGCTGAAATTTTTTAGGGCAACTATTTTAAAAACTCTCAAAGTTTTCATCGTTTTAGCTACAGTTTTATTGCATTTAAAAATACAATTGCACCTCTAATCTGCAGATAAAAGAGCAGGATATATTAATTGTTTCTCAGCTTTTACAAAGGTTTTTTCGTTGCACAAAATGCTAAAAAGCAGAATGTCGCAAGCCATGCAAATTGCACGCTAAGACTTGTAATGAGAGGCAGGGGATTCTGATCAACTTGATAAGGGAGAGAAGATTGTTTACATGTGTGTTTGTGAGGACAAAAATCAGTAGTTAACTGCATGGTCATACTCCTTGCTGTTTTGTGCAAATCCAAAACTTGGAGAAACATTGAATGTATAAACAAGCATCATTTTTCTGACGTTTTCAAGAAACATAAAATGAAATTTTGTTTTTCAATTTTATAAAATGTTGAACTTGATGAACAGGGATTTTTACCAGTGTGTTAAAGTTATTTTTAAGAACAAAAAGAGACACGACATAGTTAGGATAAAGGCCTAATAAGAAGAAAAGGTAAATATGAATGAAAGTTGTCTAAAAAAGAGCTGGCATTCAGTGGACATGATGAATCAAGCTTTAGTTTGAATCAACACAATTATAGAAATTTTCCAAAGTCATTTGTAAAATTGTTTTCTGTTTTTGACTTGCATTCAAGCAACCACTTTAGCACGAAAGAACTGATGCAGCTTCTGCTTTCATTATTGTATCACCTGGATTCCTGAGTAAGTTGAGTGTTTTTATTGATGAGGCTATTAGATTGATGAGAAAATGGGGGATTCTCAGTTTCTTTTTAATTAATGCAATGACACTTTGCATATATTAAACACAAAACAGCTTGAGTGTCTTTATTGATGAAGACAGTTGAGTGTTTTTATTGATGAGGCTATTAGATTGATGAGAAAATGTTGGATTCTCAGTTTCTTTTTAATTAATGCGATGACACTTTGCATATATTAAACACAAAACAGCTTATTGATTTTTGATTTAAATATTGATTTATTGATTTATTGATTTATTGATTGATTTATTTATTAGCTTATTGATTTATTTATTTACAGCTTATTTCATTTATTTATTTATCTTTTTTTTTCGTTTTTTTATCGTTTTTAATCGTTTTTTTAACGTTTTTTAGTCGTTTTTAATCGTTTTTATCGTTTTTATCGTTTTTAATCGTTTTTAATCGTTTTTAATTGTTTTTAACATTTCAGCATTGATTACATTGCCAAAGGATTTTTACGGCGAGGCTTTTTATGCAGATTTTTCATAAATATAGATGTATCATGTACTTAATGAAACATGGAGAACTTTCATGATTTGGTTTTGTGGAAATATATTTAAAGAGCGCAGGGGCTTAATTTCCAGTGCAGATGATTAAGAAGAGTTGTTGCAGGAATGTGTTTTTTTACCTCTGTTAAATTTATTCTAAAAATATCATATTTCATGAGAAATATTATCATCATATTTTTATCATTCTCTTCATCTTACATTCACATCATATCCTGCTTTAAAATATCAATAACAAGATGATTTTATTGAATATGATTATATTTATGGAACACCAAATTTTAATAATTCATATTTTTCTGCCTTAAATACATGTGAGGAAACATAAGCGAAATTGTATTATGAGTTTGAAATGACTGAGATGAGATGTACAATAGAGTAACTGTATAAAAACGAAATGATCCAAAAGTTTCTTAGTCTAACCAAACTTCATTTCTTTCTTTCCACAAGTGTGAAAGACAAACTTCTGGCACATTATGCCTTGAACTGATAGCTTTAACTTGGGGATGAAATCTTTTTTTGTCAAAATTTGTTATAGAAATATGAAAGTGCATGAATTGTATCATTTTTTCACTGACAATTCAAAAAAATCTATATTTCTGAATTATTAGTACCATTACTAAACGTGAAAAACTCCTTTTTACCAACCTAAATTAAATATCTTAGCGGATTTTGTTGCGAGAACAGAAGAAAACAAAAGACTTTGCAACTTAACAGAGACTTACAAAATTAGAATATAAGCAGGGCTGCTTCACCATTCCCCAGATCAACACTTCAAAGTCAGTACAAAAACTTCTTTAACCAGAATTTTTCAAGTCCATCAAAGCTTATCACCTTTAGATTTATTATATCAGCCAATAGGGAGCCGTTTCGCTCAATTTTGCAATAGTTGGAAAAAAACTTAAAATGACATTTAGTTCTTGTATCAGTAAAAGAATACAAAATAGAGTTCACCCATTACTCGAACCAATCTTGCACACCAAAAGTGCATGTGTTTCCTTTGCAGAACCAATTTTAATAGATCTCAAGGTGTAAGAACAATACTAAAAGAATGCTACCAAAAGAAAACAAGTATCATACAAATCAGCTTGTAAGATCCTTGTTCATTGTACTCAACAAATGCGTTAACAAAGACTCGTAATAAATCTAAAAAAGTTGAACAAGTGTACAGAATGTCAACACTTGGAAGACATACCAATTTTAAAGGACCTCCTAAAATTAGGATAGTTTCTCAAAAAAGTAGCTTTAAAAGACGCATAACCTTCTAAGCCAATTTGGCCTACATTTAAAAGGTTTCTACGTTTTGAGAAGAAAAAAAATATTTAGGAATTTCGTTGCCTTTTATTTAGCCTGCAAGTTACCATTCCCCCTCTAATCAACCTGCGAAAACCAGTTGTTGCCCTGTTGACAAAATTAGATGTCGAACTCATAATTTACTTTGACGACAACCTAACCAAGGTCGAGTTCAAAGAGATTCAAGAACACTCAGGTTTAGTAATCAACCTGTTAGAGAGTTTAAGTTCTGTCATAAGTGAACAAACAAAAGACAGAATTCGAACCCACTCACGATATAGAATTTTGCCTTTCTGAGTCACTTCAATTCAATATCAATGTCTCTAACAAAAAATCTGGACCATCAAAAAGGAATTCCAGAGGTTGTTGAACAAATCCTCTTTTGAAGTCAGAGTACTCGCGGTGGCAAACACTAGTGAAAGACCTGAAGGTAGAATGTGGAGGTTGTTAACACTAGTGAAAGACCAGAAGGTGGAATTGTAGTGGTGGTTAACACTAGTGAGAGACCAAAATGTGACCTGTGGCAGTAGCTTACACTAGTGGCAGACCAGAAGGTGAACTGAGGCGGTGGCTAACACTAGGGAGAGACCAGAAGGTGGAACTGTGTCGGTGGTTAACATTAGTGAGAGACCAGAAGTTGGAACAGCTGTGCATAATAACCTCTGTATGGGACACTCAATCTTGGTGCCCTCTTTCACTAGAAGTAGACTCTCTCAGAATCCTTCCAACAAAATCTGCTAACTGGCAAAGGAGCTTCACACCTCTGTCTCACCTGCAGCTAGCAGGATGTCTCATCTTAGCCATCTCATGCTGGTTAAAAAAGTTCATATGCTTAGTTCGTTATGCTGTGTCATCAACTTTAGCATTAATGCCATGTCTCATTAGGCAACTATAAGCTACAATAGATAAATACGTCCAAACAATTTTCTTGAGTAGCCCGAGCGAGTAGACGCCTAAATTGGCGTTTAGTTTGAATCAAAACTGTAGAGAGCCAGACTTCTCAAGTAAAAAAAGGGCTGTTACATGCAAGGAAATATTTTTATTAGTACACCTAATGTTCAGAATAATTGATTTTCTATGAATCGATGAAGTTTTTTTGATGAAACGTTCCATGCATAGAACAATAAAAAACAGGTTATCTATGTTATTCGTCTGATAGATAATAACCGTGAGGATATTTTTGAAAGATTTCTAAAATTTCAGCAATGATTGCAAAGCCACAGCAAATTTCACGTTGAGGCTTTTAGTGCAGAATCTTTATAAATATATGTGTATTTAATGAAACACGGGGAACCAAAACCTTAAGCAACTACTTTTCATAAGAAATATCATCATCATAATATTCTTAATCTCTACAAAATCAAAGTCGAAATGATCCTATAGAAGGTGATCGATTTTGTTGAATAATAAATTTTAATATTTTATGTCTTAGGGAAGGATACTGCATGGGTATATTGCATCTGGGAAAGGTTTATGAGTTATGACTCATTTTTAGCATGTAGAGCTTTTTAATAAAGAATTGACTTGACATGATAGTCTTTTGTTTACTGCCTTAATAGAATAGTTTTACAGATCACAAAATTAACTGCTACGTGAGCTTGATATGTGTCAACTAAAGAGTTAGTCTTGCCATCTCAAGCTAAAAAATAGTCTATGAACTTGAAGTCAAAGTGAATCCCATTTAAAATTATTGCGTATTATCAACAAACACATTCCAACCCATCGAACAGAACTGTACTGCTGAATTTGAAGTATTTTAAAAAAAGACTTTCATTTATATCGTAGTGTTCAGGAGTTTTGTGTTTAGTTTTAATAATCCATTATCTGTTACAAATATTTGTGGTCATCTTAAGCGAAGAAGCTTTGTTGTTGTTCTGACGAGCTTTTTACACTTGAACGAATTCCCCCACCAATTTTTGCCGATTATATAGCAATGTAAAAGTTAAACATATTGTCAGGTCGTGCCTTTTGTATAACGCCTTACTTTTGCTGTATTTATTTGATGTACCATGTGTATACCCGATTCCTAAGCTGGCAAAGCAATTAAATCAATGTAATTCTTTATTATCTTCGAACTAATCATTAATAGCTCGATTTAATAAGCCGATTTTGCCAAATTAAACCGAAAAGTAAAAATGATAACCGGTGAAATTCTCCTTTTCACCGTTTTTCACAGAGTTTTTTGTATAAAAGTGGGAAAAAGAGCGTAATTTAGATGACTATGGTTGACATTGCTAAATATTATTCAAATCATACATGAAATATGCATAAATTTTGAAAATTTTACGTGCAGCGCTCTCCCGTTTTGATTTACCTTAAATGACTGCCACTTGTTATGAACTTATGAGTTAGAAGGGACTGCGAAAAGATGAACAATCAAGCAATTGTACAAAAATGAAATAATAGCGAAAGTTTGCTATGCCTAACAAATTTTTTTTCCTTAGCATGACAAAGCTTTGCATAAGCTTTGCACAAAGCCGTCTATAACAAGTTCTCAATGATGTCAGATATTGTGTTTTTAGTATAAAGTCTAAAAGATTGTTTGCAATAAATAGTATTTTTCAGGCACTTCAAAAAGGTACATTTTTAAAGAAGAAGCATTATACTAAAAGTCAAAGACTCGAAGCGCCTTGTGTCATGCCTTGCCAATGCTGTATTTGTTTGCTGTACAAGATGCCCTTGTTGCCTTGACGATTTCGTTTAGCTGAGGAAAGCAATTAAATCAATGAAATTCTTTGTTAGATTCAAACTAAACAATGTCCTGTTTCTATGCTGATTTTGTAAGAATTAGCCATGAAATTAGCAGAAAACGCAGTAAAATGGTCGAAAAAGAAAAATGACAATAACTCATTCATAGAGATAGACAGGGAATTTGTTAAAAAACTCAGAGATGGCTTTTATGTCGATGATCTAGTGTCCGGTGAACAATCCAATAAGAAAGGAATGAGGTTGTATGAGTCAGCAAGTGAACGATTGGCTGCGGGAGGATTTAGGCTTAGGAAGTGGCTAAGTAACCATGAGAATGTTTTGAAAGAAATAGAAAAGAGAGAAAGAAGAATTTTAGAAGAAAGAAGGGCAGAATTTAGTATATCGAAAGTGGTTGATGAAAAAACTGATGCTAAAGCATCAGTTGGGGAAAATAGTATCATTGGAAGTTTAGAGAAAGTACTAGGATTGTGAAGGGAGTGTAAGTAGGATCGCTTTGTATTTAACCTCTGGAAATTGGCTCAAAGAGCAAAGGCAATCATTCCAAGTAAACGAAATATACTAAGTATACTTGCAGGGTTATTCAATCCTTTAGGTATTATAAGTCGAGTTGTAGTTTGTGCTATGTCATTGTTTCAGGAGCTGTGTATTGAGAAAGCTGAATGAGATAATGAGCTGGAAGTTGACAAGAAAAAACGTTAGGAGAGATGGATAGAAGATTTAGAGAGAGTCAGGGATTTAGTTGTGGTGAGATGTGTTTATGGTAATTTATTTAATAAGGTAAAGTGTTACTTGCATGGGTACGCAGATGCCAGCCAAAAGGCATACTGTGCGGTCGTATATTTTTTGACAGAGCTAAATGGTGCCTACCACGTAGAGTTGCGTACGCCGAAAACAAAGATAGCGCCAATAAAATTGCAGACAATTCCCGGACTAGAACTGATGTCAGCTGGAATATTAGCACAGTTGTTGGACACAGTGAAGTTGGCCTTAAAAGGTTACGTTCAATTTAATGGTATATAATATTGGTTGGACAGTATGACTGCATTGTGCTTGATCGGTAATAGGGGAGAATGGAAACAGTTTGTGCGCCATAGAGTTAACGAGATTTTAAGATTGAGCATGAAGGATGACTGGAAACATCGTCCGGGTGTAGACAACCCAGCGGATTAGGCTCAACTGGAGTTACGACATCACAATTAAAGGAAAGTGAACTTTGGTGGAAGGGACTGAAATGGTTGTCAGGTCCCCATTGTGATTAGCCAATGCCAAAAGAGGCTAAAACTACAGAGGAAAGTCTTGTGGAAGTCAAAAAGACAGTATTGGCTAACACACAGGTAGTAGATAAAGGTTGTGTGATAAAATTTGGCAAATTTAGTAATATAAAGAGACTAATAAGTGTCATAGCTATCATTGGGCGATTTGTAGACAATTTGAAGGTAAGAGTTAAACTTGGGACAAACAGGACTAAAACATTGGAAGTGTCAGATTTAGAGCTTGAAACTAGAGAACCAATTTTATTGCCTAAGGATCATCACTTAACCAAATTAATTATTAAAGATTGCCACAGGAAGGTTCATCATAGTGGGGTAAGAGCGACTTTTGTTCAGCTACGAGGCAAATATTAGGAAACTAAGTAGACAGATCGTAAAGAAGGTTTTAGGAAATTGCAGGACTTGTAGAAGACATCAAGTAGAGGCTTATAAAACACCAGTGCAAGTAGATTTAGCAGATTTTAGAGTTCAGTATTCACCACCCTTTTCTAAAATAGGAGTAGATTTTGCTGGTCCATTGTTTGCAAAAGAAAGTGGACAGATGGTAAAAGTATACATCGCATTATTTTCCTGCTGTGTTACTAAAACAATTTGTCTTGATTTAGTTGATAGTTTAAGTGCACTTTGTTTTTTGAATTGTGTGCGAAGATTTACTGCTAGAATGGGAGCACCCTCGCTAATAGTTTGGGACAACGCCAAAACATTCAAAGCAACTGAGAAAGCGTTAAAGGGGATTAATGAAATTAAAGAAGCAAATTCATACTTGGAAGGAAATCTGTTGATATAGAAGTTTAATTTGGTGAGGACACCCAGGTGGGATGGATTTTTTGAAATTATGGTAGCATTGGTGAAAGGCTGTCTGAAGAAGGTGTTGGGTAGCGCTAAATTGAACGAGGAAGAATTGTTAACAACATTAGTTGAGGTACAAGGTACGTTAAACTCTAGACCATTGACTTATGTATATGAAGATGAAGTGAATGTAGATGTACTGACTCCTGCACATCTTATGTTTGGAAGAAGATTAACATATATTCCAGACAAAAGAATTATGCATACTATTAATGACGAAGATTCGGGAGTGGTCAAGCGTAGGTTTAGGTATTTAGCAAGATTGAGAAAGCATTTTTGGTCCAGGTGGAGAAAGAATACTTAACAAGTATAAGTGAGTGTCATAAGGTTGGCAAAGTAAAGGGTAGTTTGTGTCCGAAAGTAGGTGATGCAGTTCTTGTGTTTGAGGAAAGTTTGAAAAGAGGATTTTGGAAAATAGCAAGAATTGAGAGATTGATCAAGGGATAAGATAATATAGTCTGAGGAGCGCAAGTCAAAGTTGTTAGCAAGGGAAAACCACTGCACATAAGCAGGCCTCTTCAGAAACTGTATCCACTAGAGATGAATGCAAAGGTAAGTAAAGAAAAGTCAGCGTCCTACATGTAGAAAATACAATCATGCTATTCTTCCTCCCAATACTTTTGAACAGGTTTTACTGTCTTTCTTACCATGCAGCTTATGGTCAAAAGTTAAAAAGTTGGTATATCAATTTAGATATGATTCCTCATGCATGTTTATGCATACTTCATCTAGATGTTTCCTAAGCTAATTTATTAGGTCCGTAATGTGGATATAAATCTCGCTTTACTTTTATAAAATTACCTTTGTTGTAGAAGTAAGACTTCATATCTGACGAGATCGTCGTCCAAATTAAGCTTGCTTCAGTTCTTTACATGTCACATACCTAACAAAGGATGAGAGATTTATTATAAAGAACGCGACCACATACATATCAGTTTAAAAATGGTGGTCATAATTCATACCTTATTGTTACATCAATCTTTTATCCATGTAAGTTTTGTTACATAAACTCATTTAAATAGCGGACGAAGATTAAGAGTGAGTCAGGATCTCCTTCAACAAACAGTATTATAAAACATTAATGACGCCTATTTAGAACATTCTAGTTATATAACTAAGTATACATCACTGACTAAAAACAATTGTTATAGAAGTAAAAAAACATCGATAAGATTTAACTCTAACCCTAACCCTAACTCTAAACCAGGAATAACTTTAACTCGGGAATAGAGAATCGTCTATCTAAAACAGGATGCCAATGATTAAGGCACGATTTTCGAAACTGTGAATGGATTTTTTTCCTTCATTAATGAAAATTCCATACATGTATATTATTGCATAAGTCAGTTCTTATTATAAAAAATCTTTGTTATTTAATAAACCATTGTAAATTATAAATACATGGCAAACATCAATTGCACGCAATTATATTTACTTATGATCAATAAAGACACTGTGGATACAACAGTAAAGGTTGCAATGAAAGTAAACCTTAAAACTGTTAAACATGATCTAAACTATAATTTAAAAGCTCACTTTGTTGCATGAATCAACATTTCCCAAAAATAGATTCGGTTGCGTTCTTTTCTCTGTGTAAATACATTCTTCCTGTGTTTAACTTTTGCCAATTTTTCAAATTTCCTTACTTATAAAGAAAATGGTTTGTCGCATACAACTATGAAGATTTTGCTAGACACACAGAGATTAGTCAAAAGTGGCGTCAGCAAAGAAGGGAGGTGATGCATGATTGGTTATGTGCCCCACCCTCTACATAAATTTTTACAAATCCCCCTTTTTTCCATAGAAAAGTATAGTTTATAAAGAAAATTCAGCATCCTACATGTAGGAAATGTTCTCATATTATTTGGTCTCCCCCATATTTTTGAACAGATTTTGCTGTCCTTTACCATGCAGCTTATTGTCAATAGTTAGAAAGTTGGTATATCAATTTAGATATGATTTCTCATGCATGTTTAGTCATACTTTATCATGATGCTCCTGTAGCAAATTTGTTATGTAAAGTTAGTAATATAGTTTCAGAATCTCACTTTACTTTCGAAAGGACACCTACGTTTTAGAAATAAGACTTCATACTTGACGACCGTGTAGACAAAATTATGTTTGCTTTAGTTCTTTACGTGTCACATATTTTACAAAGATAAGAGATTTAATATAAAGAACGCGACCACATACATATCAGTTTAAAAATGGTGATCATATTTCATACCTTATTGTTACATCAATCTTTTATCCATGTAAGTTTTGTTACATAAACACATTTAAATAGTGAACGAAGATGAAGAGTGAGTCAGGATCTCCTTCAACAAACAGTATTATAAAACATTAATGACGCCTATTTAGAACATTCTAGTTATATAACTAAGTATACATCACTGACTAAAAACAATTGTTATAGAAGTAAAAAAACATCGATAAGATTTAACTCTAACCCTAACCCTAACTCTAAACCAGGAATAACTTTAACTCGGGAATAGAGAATCGTCTATCTAAAACAGGATGCCAATGATTAAGGCACGATTTTCGAAACTGTGAATGGATTTTTTTCCTTCATTAATGAAAAATTCCATACATGTATATTATTGCATAAGTCAGTTCTTATTATAAAAAATCTTTGTTATTTAATAAACCATTGTAAATTATAAATACATGGCAAACATCAATTGCACGCAATTATATTTACTTATGATCAATAAAGACACTGTGGATACAACAGTAAAGGTTGCAATGAAAGTAAACCTTAAAACTGTTAAACATGATCTAAACTATAATTCTAAAAGCTCACTTTGTTGCATGAATCAACATTTCCCAAAAATAGATTCGGTTGCGTTTTTTCTCTGTGTAAACACATTCTTCCTGTGTTCAACTTTTGCTTATTTTTCAACTTTTCTTACTTATAAAAGAAATGGTTTGTCGTATACAACTATCAACATTTTGCTAGACACACAAAGATCAGTCAAAAGTGCCGTCAGCAAAGAAGGGAGGTGATGCATGATTGGACATGTGCTCCCCCACTTTACATAAATTTTACAGATCCCTTTTTTTTCCATAGACAAGTATAGTTTATAAAGAAAAATTCAGCATCCTACATGTAGGAAATGTTCTCATATTATTTGGTCTCCCCCATATTTTTGAACAGATTTTGCTGTCCTTTACCATGCAGCTTATTGTCAATAGTTAGAAAGTTGGTATATCAATTTAGATATGATTTCTCATGCATGTTTAGTCATACTTAATCATGATGCTCCTGTAGCAAATTTGTTATGTAAAGTTAGTAATATAGTTTCAGAATCTCACTTTACTTTCGAAAGGACACCTACGTTTTAGAAATAAGACTTCATACTTGACGACAGTGTAGACAAAATTATGTTTGCTTTAGTTCTTTACGTGTCACATATTTTACAAAGATAAGAGATTTAATATAAAGAACGCGACCACATACATATCAGTTTAAAAATGGTGATCATATTTCATACCTTATTGTTACATCAATCTTTTATCCGTGTAAGTTTTGTTACATAAACACATTTAAATAACGAACGAAGATGAAGAGTGAGTCAGGATCTCTTTCATCAAACAGTATTATAAAACAAAAATGACGCCTATGTAGAACATTCTAGTTATATAACTGAGTATACATCAATGACTAAAAACAATTTTTATTGAAATAAAAATACATAAATAAGAGCCTCGTGCAGAGTACATAATAACATTGAGATTAGTCAAATTCCAAAGGACTACTGCTAAATTATATAAAGTTTCACAAGTTTTAACTCAGGAATAGAGAATCGTCTATCTAATCAGGATGCCAATGATTAAGGCACGATGTTTGAAACTGTGAATGGATTTTTTTCCTTCATTAATGAAAAATTTCATACATGTATACTCTTGCATAAATCAGTTCTTATTATAAAAAATCTTTGTTATTTAATAAACCATTGAAAATTGTAAATACATGGCAAACATCAATTGCACGCAATTATATTTACTTATGATCAATAAAGACACTGTGGATACAACAGTAAAGGTGGCAATGAAAGTAAACCTTAAAACTGTTAAACATGATCTAAACTATAATTCTAAAAGCTCACTTTGTTGCATGAATCAACATTTCCCAAAAATAGATTCGGTTGCGTTTTTTCTCTGTGTAAACACATTCTTCCTGTGTTCAACTTTTGCTTATTTTCAAATTTTCTTACTTATAAAAGAAATGGTTTGTCGTATACAACTATCAACATTTTGCTAGACACACAAAGATCAGTCAAAAGTGCCGTCAGCAAAGAAGGGAGGTGATGCATGATTGGACATGTGCTCCCCCACTTTACATAAATTTTACAGATCCCTTCCCTTTTTTTTCCATAGACAAGTATAGTTTAAAAAGAAAAATTCAGCATCCTACATGTAGGAAATGTACTCATATTATTCGGTCTCCCCCATACTTTTGAACAGATTTTGCTGTCCTTTACCATGCAGCTTATTGTCAATAGTTAGAAAGTTGGTATATCAATTTAGATATGATTTCTCATGCATGTTTAGTCATACATTATCGAGATCCTTCAATAGCGAAATTGTTATGTAAAGTTAGTAATATAGTTTCAGAATCTCACTTTACTTTCGAAAGGACACCTACGTTTTAGAAATAAGACTTCATACTTGACGACCGTGTAGACAAAATTATGTTTCCTTTAGTTCTTTACATGTCACATATTTTACAAAGATAAGAGATTTAATATAAAGAACGCGACCACATACATATCAGTTTAAAAATGGTGATCATATTTTATACCTTATTGTTACATCAATCTTTTATCCGTGTAAGTTTTGTTACATAAATACATTTAAATAGTAAACGAAGGTGAAGAGTGAGTCAGGATCTCTTTCATTAAACAGTATTATAAAACAAAAATGACGCCTATGTAGAACATTCTAGTCATATAACTGAGTATACATCACTGACTAAAAACAATTTTTATAGAAATAAAAATACATAAATAAGTACCTCATGCAGAGTACATAATAACATTGAGATTAATCAAATTCCAAAGGACTACTGCTAAATTTTATAAATTTTCACAAGTTTTAACTCAGGAATAGAGAATCGTCTATCTAAAACAGGATGCCAATGATTAAGGCACGATGTTTCAAACTGTGAATGGATTTTTTTCCTTCATTAATGAAAAATTTCATACATGTATACTCTTGCATAAATCAGTTTTTATTATAAAAAATCTTTGTTATTTAATAAACCATTGTAAATTATAAATACATGGAAAACATCAATTGCACGCAACTATAATTACTTATGATCAACAAAGACACTGTGGATACAACAGTAAAGGTTGCAATGAAAGTAAACCTTAAAACTGTTAAACATGATCTAAACTATAATTCTAAAAGCTCACTTTGTTGCATGAATCAACATTTCCCAAAAATAGATTCGATTGCGTTTTTTCTCTGTGTAAATACATTCTTCCTGTGTTTAACTTTTGCTTATTTTTCAACTTTTCTTACTTATAAAACAAATGGTTTGTCGTATACAACTATGAACATTTTGCAAGACACACAGAGATCAGTCAAAAGTGCCGTCAGCAAAGAAGGGAGGTGATGCATGATTGGACATGTGCTCCCCCACTTTACATAAATTTTACAGATCCCTTTTTTTTCCATAGACAAGTATAGTTAATAAAGAAAAATTCAGCGTCATACATGTAGGAAATATTCTCATATTATTCTGCCTCCCCCATTCTTTTGAACAGATTCTACTGTTCTTTACCATGCAGCTTATTGTCAATAATTAGAAAGTTGGTATATCAATTTAGATATGATTTCTCATGCATGTTTAGTCATACTTTATCTAAATGCTGCTTTAGCTAATTTGTTATGTGCTTAGTGTAGTACTAAAATATCGCTTAATTTTTCTAAAATTACTTTCGTTTTAGAAGTAAGACGACCGTGTGACAAAATTATGTTTGCTTTAGTTCTTTACATGTCACATACTCAACAACGGATGAGAGATTTAATATAAACAACGC